TGACCTTGGTGACATGAGTGGAATAAAGCCTGTGGGACCAGAACATTTGGAATCTTCATTTGCTGATGGGGCAAGATTCAAAGATTTTTTTAAAAAAAACACACCACACTACAAAAATGTGCTAATGATCAGAACTTGAAATGTGCAATGTATGAATCTTGGAAAATTGGAAGCAATCAAAAGTGAAATGGAGAGGTCTGGGAAAATATGGCTGCCAAATAGAACATTCTATCAAAAACTCTGGAAGTCTCAGCCAGAACCAGGTGCCTGCACCTCTGAAAACAGACTTTCAACCTGAATTCTGGGTGCTCCATGATTATTTTTATTATTTCTTTTTAAAAAATCATACACAACACACACATACACACAGGAAAACCCAGAGTTCAGTATAGCAGTGAGTGGCTGCAGCTCCTCTCCCCTATCTCTGCTACCTGCCTATGAAGGAACTCACTTCCTCCCAACTTCCTCATGATTAGAAGCTCCCTTTCACTTCATGCCTCAATTCCTCTTGCATATCTATGTCCTAGGGCCACTGTGTGGTGGTTGGATCAAGTGGTATGGATCTGAATCTCCAGAATTCTCCACTTTTCTACATACAACCCTCTCACCTCCTTGTCAGAGAGCAATTCTTCCATGAATTGATCTGCTACCTGACAGCAGGAAAGCTAACTGCCATGAAATCAAGGGTCCTTTGTTATAAGCACAACAATATTTTTCAGTGAGACATACTTTCACGTAAATTAACAAGTAACACCTCTTACAATCCCCTTTTCCAATTTATCAAAAATTACTATATTTAACCAGAAAACCACTTATTATTAAAAGCATCACTTAAATCCTACACTCCTGTTCCTGCTACCCATCCATCTCTATCACTTCTCCCTCATATCCACACAATATGATTTCCAGTCCATACGTGATCCTTGCTTTCTAATTCAAAGTGTCAGCCCCCACCATACACAATCCAGAACACTACACATCACCTACTGTTGTACTACAATGCCTCACAAACAACAGCCAACAGAAGTAAACACACACACACTCAAAGATAAAGTCAACAACTGAAGATTACCCAAGCTCAATGGAATACATAGATAAGAAACCCTGGAACCACCAGAAAAAGAATGCAGGAGAATGATGCTTAAGAACATACAAGAGATCTTGGAATCAGTCGTGAAAACAAATGAAGAAATTGAGATACTGAAAACCTCACAGCCAAAAGAAACCCAGAAGGTAAACAATGAGATAACAAATGAAAAACGTGGTTTAAGGACTAATCAAGAAAATGGAAGAAAAGGAAAAAGACAACCACATATAAATCAGTAAACTAGAGAAACAAAAATGCAAAAGAATATCAAGAAAGACTGTAGATGATGTAAAACACCATGAGAAATATATACTTCTCATTGGAACACTGGGACAGGATTAAATTAAAAAATATATACGAATGTCATAGTAAGATAATATATGGGGGAAAGTTTCCCTATTATGAATAAGAAGGACATGATTACCATCCAGGGTGCAGAGAGTACTCCAAATAGGTTAGGAACACCCCATCCCCCAGCTAAAAAAAACATGAAAAAATATAGTGTCAAATTATCCAACTTTAAGGAAAAGGGGAAAATCTTGAAAACTAGATAGAGAAGCAGTCACCTACAAAGGAAAGAGATAAGAATAAGTTCAGACCTCCCAGCAGAAACCATGCAGAAAAGAAGACAATAGAGCAAAATATACCAATTTTTGAAAGAAAACAACTGCCAAACAGAAATTCTATATTCATTAAAGCTATTTATTAAATATGAAAGAGAAATAAAAGTATTATCAAAAATTGAAATGTTTAGAGAATTCATAAAAACAAAATGAGCATTACAAAAAACACTAACCAAATCTTTATGGTAAGAAAATCAACAGCTGCACTACACAAACATGAGACCACCACGGTGTGTAACACTTCCCAGAAATTAACATAATGTGAGCAGCATCCAAAACAACAAAGATCTAAAGGGGAAATGAAGACATAAATAAATTCCCTTCATGAAAAAAGAAGAAAAATAACAAACACAAATAATAATCAACGCTTAGAATTAATAATCCTGTAACTCAATGGACTAAATGCACCAACCAAAAGACAAAGAGTAGTGGATTGGATTAGAAAATAAAATGATTCAATCTGCTGCCTTCAAGAGACACACCTCAAACTCATAAACAAAAAGAGACTGGGAGTCCAGGGATGGCAAAAAATATTTCCCAAGCTCCTGGGAGCCAAAAAAGAGTAGGATTGACAATATTAATCTCTGACAAAATAGACTTCAAAGTAAATGACATAATGAGAGACAAGAATGGACACTACATAATGATCAAAGGATCAATAAACCAAGAACATATAGTCATAAAAATCATATGAAAGACCAATGAAATACATCAACCAAATCTTCAAAGAGAAGGAAAGAGAAATCTCCAGATTGACAATAGTAGTAGGAGATGTCAGTACACCACCCTCAAGGAAAGATAGGTCAAGAGGAAAGAAACTCAATAAAGAAAGACCTAGAAAATGCAATCAGACTGCTCAATCTCTTAAATATTTATAGAGTTCTCCAACCAACTGCAAAGCAAAAAAATACATGTTATTCTCCAATGCACATGGCACACACTTTAAAATAGATATACTAGGACATAAAGCAACCTTCAACAAATTCATGCACATAGAGATTATTGAAACTATCTTCTCAGACCAAAGTACAATAAAACTAAAAATCAACAACAGAAAGATTAAAAACAAACAAACACATGGAGAATCAACAACACTCTACTAAAGAAAGTAGCCTGAATAAGAGATGAAATTAAGAGATTCCTTGAAACAAACAGGAATGGTTTTACAACATACCCGGATGTATGGGACATAGCAAAAGCATTTATTAGGGGTAAATTTATAGCAATTAATATACACATGAAAAAAGAGAAGAAATCATTTTTCAACACTTTAACAAATACTTTCTACAATAACAACATTATCATATGCATAAACCACCCAACAACAGAAGAAAAGAAATCATAATAATTAGGGCAAAATTAAATGAGCTAGGAAACAGAAACAAATGGAAAATATTAACAAGTGAAGAAGATGGTTCTTTGAAAGGATCAACAAAAAATTTCAAACCTCCAGCAAACTTTTGGAAAGAATAAGAAGAGAATAATAACACAGTAAAATGAAAGCATATGTTCCAACAATTCAATAATCTAGATGATATGGACAAGTGGCTAGAAATATATCCTCTACCCAAAGTAATGTAAATGGACATTAAAACTTGAACAGACCCACAGCAAAAGAAGAAATAGGCAAGCGTCAAAAAACTTCCAACCCCAAAAGACAAGAACCAGATGGATTCACAAGCAAATTCTACCAAGTATTCAGAGAAGAGCTATTGTCACCAAATCTACATAAACTATTCTAGCATAACTCTGTTATAAAGGATAAGAACTACGTGATCATATTAATTGATTTAGAAAATGCATTTGTCAATATCCAACACCCATTCCTAATGAAAGCACTCAATAAAATAGGAATAGAAGGGAAATTTGTCAACACAATAAAGGCCACACATGAAAAACCAACAGCCAGTATCACACTCAGTTGGGAACAGCTGAAAACATTCCCACTGAAAACAGATACATGAAAAGGATATTCCTTATTGCCACCCTTATTGAACATTTTGCTGGAAGCCCTAGCAAGAACTATGAGACAACAAGAACTTAAGAAAGTCCAAGTGGTAAAAGAAGTGAAACTCGCTATTTGCATAAGATATGCTTTTATAAAGAGAGAACCCTGGGGTCTCTACAATAGAACTGTTGGAAATAATTGAGAAATTTAGTAAAATAGTAGGATACAAGATTAACAAGTATAAATCAATTGGACTCCTATATACTATTAACGAGAGAACCAAAAAGACATCAAGAATACAAGACCATTCACAACAGCCACACAAAAGTTGAAATACCTAGGAATAAATCTAAGCAAAGAGACAAAAGACCTGCACAAAGAAAACTACAGAATATTAGTATAAAAAACCAAAGGAGAACTACCTACACACATCGAAGAATATTCCATGTTCATGGATAGGAGGACTTGATATCATAAAAATGTCAATATTACCTGAAGAAATCTACAAATTCAATGCAATTCCTATCCAAATTCCAACATCATTCTTTAAAGAAGTGGCAAATTTAATTACCAACTTCATATAGAGAGGGAAGAGGCCTAGGATAAGCAAAGAACTTCTCAAAAAGAACAAAGTAGGTGGTCTGGCACTATCTGACTTCAAAACCCGTTACATAGCCACAGTTGTCAAAACAGCCTTGTATATTGGTATAATGATAGACACATAGACCAATGTAACAGAACAGAAACTCAGAAATAAGAGCATCCAACTCAGATATCCTGTTTTCAACAACCCAAAACCAAACTCTGACATCTAGTCACTGCTGACTCATAGGGACCCCCTGTGGACTTCTGAGACTGTAACCGTTTATGGGAGTAGTAAGCCCAGTTTTTCTCCCTAGGAGCTGCTGGTGATTTCAAACTGCTGACCATAATGATCACAGCCCAAAGTATAAGCACTATACCACCAGAACCAAGAAATATTAAATGGGAAGTGAATGCACTCTTCAACAAGTGGTGCTGAGGAAACTATCTCCAGCTTCAGAAGAATGAAGCATGACCCCTACCTCACCCAAAAACACAAAAATGAACTCAAGGTAGTCAGAGACCTAAATATATAATCCAAAACTGTCAGGATCATCAACAAGAAAATTGGGACAAACCTAAAGACACTATTGCAGGGCACGCACTGATTGCCAGATATAACAAAGGAAGCAATTACAGTGGAAATAGAATACATGCCTGCGACCTATTAAAAATAAAACACAAGAATGTGGTCAGGCAGCTCAGACCAAGCAGGGCTTTACTTCCCAGTATACTGCCATTCTCTTGTCTTCTGCTCACGATGGCTTCTTCTGATATCCAAGTGAAAGATCTGTTGAAGTGGGCTTCTGGCCTGGCCTTTGAATTGATACTCAGCCCCCATTCAAAAGAATCTGTCCCAGAATTCCCTCTTTCTCCTCCAGAGAAGAAGAACCTTTCCCTGGAGAAAATTCAGAAGAAATTAGAAGCTGCAGAAGAAAGACACAAGTCCCATGAAGCTGAGGTCCTGAAGCAGCTGGCCGAGAAGCAGAAGCATGAAAAAGAAATGCTTCAGAAAGTAATGGAGGAAAATAACTTCAGTAAGATGGCGGAGGAGAAGCTGATATTTAGACAAAAGACTCATTTCTAAAATCTGCAGAATATTGCAACGTCAAAAGAAAAAAAACAAATCTGCAGCCAATTAAGCCGACCGTCCTCCTTGTGGGGGCCAGTGTGCAATGGCTGCAAACAGCAAGCCTCCTCAGTAGTGTATGCAGCCTATTGTTATGTATAGGCTGCCCTAAGGGACCTTGGAGACAACCTTTTGCTGCTTTTCAATGCCTCTGGCCTGGCTAATTTCTGCTCTCCCTAAACTAGGCTCCAAACTGGGATGCGAGGTGCTTTTGGGAAACCTCAAGGCACGGTGGCTAGAGTCCACATTGGCCAGGTTATCATGTCCATCCACACCAAGCTTCAAAACAAGGAGCATGTGATTGAGGCCTTACGCAGAGCCAAGTTCAAGTTCCCTGGGCGCCAGAAGATCCACATCTCCAAGAAGTGGGGCTTCACCAAGTTTAATGCTGATGAGTTTGAGGATATGGAGAAGCGCCTCATCCCAGATGGCTGTGGGGTCAAATACATCCCTCACCGTGGCCCCTTGGACAAGTGGCGGCCCTGCATTCATGAAGGCCTTGGTAGCCCTGTGCTGCCTCACTTGTACCCAACAAATAAAAATTGAACTTCCTGGTTAAAAAAGAAAAAAAGAAAAAAACAAATAACCCTCTCAAAAGGTGGCCAAAAGACATGAGTAGACAATTCACGAAGGATGACACCCGAATGGCTAACAAAAACATGAGGAAATGCTCTAGTTCACTAGCCATCTGTGAAATGCAAATCAAACTAATGATGAGATACCATCTCATACCCACAACCATAACGTACAAACAAAATAAACAAAATAAAAACAAAAACAGAGAACAACAAATTCTGGAGAGGGTGTGGAGAGATTGGAACACATACACTCTGGTGGGCTTGTGAAAAAGTACTACCACTGTGGAAAGCAATAGGATGATTCCTAAAACAGCTGGCAATAGAAATACCATATGACCTAGGGGGTATATAGCCCAAAGAAATAAGAAACAGAACATGAACTGACGTATTCCCCCCCCCCTCGTGTTCATTGCAGCACAGTTCACAGTAGCAAGAATTTGGAAACAGCCCAATTTTCCATCAGTAGAAGAGTGGATAAAACTTTAGTATAAACACACACAACGGAATACTATGTATCCCTAAAAAACAGTGATGACACCATGAAACTGCTCATGCTATAGAGGGATGGGAAAATCATTGTGCTGAATGAAGTTAGTTGATCACAAAAGACAAATGCTGTATGAATCCACTGGGATAAACTTGTCAAGGGAGGGGTAGGGGATGTTGTTCACTTAGTGGCTGCCATGCAAAGTTATGATGATGTCCCCCTGGATAGGTAGACATCCCTATCAGAAGGATGAGGGATACTGATGGAAAAGTCAAGTCATGAGAGGGGAAAGGGAGAAGGCATGTCTGGGAGGACACCAGTGCATGTCTGTTGGTAGAAAAAAGAGGAGGATCGACCTCCAATGGGGGAAGGGATAACTAAAAATACTTTAAAGAACCTTAAGAGAGACGCATTCCTGGTACTGTGGACTGAATAAGCCACATTGGCCTGATTTTCTGAGCATATCTTGGGTATCCAAGCCAAGTGCCATGGGATACTAGAGCATTGAATCCTGGATCTTGAAGATGCACAATATGTTCAAAAGGCCTCACCACAGAGATCCAATGTGGAAACTCCAAAAGTTGAACTGAATTCTACCTCAAACACACTTATAACGTGAAGACTTAAGACTGAAAAGTCATGGTTTTTGAGGAAACAGAAGACAAACTGTACCAAGAGGATTGAACTCTTGGTAGATGAACAATCATTGACCTAATGCATCAATGCCCTATATGCCTGTATTAAGACATATTATTCCAGCATACCTGTGACCGATGTTGTCAGTGAATGTTATTATAAATTTTCCCTGTCAACCCACTGCCATTGTTTGTGTAAATAGCATTCAGCCACTAAAGTTTTGATTCTGTACAAGTGTAATTTAGGTGTTGTGATAGGGAGTTACCCAACATTGGACCAATATCCCTCTCTCAACAATGTCTTAAAAAATTGTACCAGGGGCTGATCAATGACAATATTAACAGAAGATCTTTATGCTCCAGGAAGATGATCCATAACACTCTACCATAAATGATCAAGGAGGTCTCTAAAGGAAGCCAAAGCCAGAAAGAAAACAACAAAAAAATACCCCTAGAACCCAGAATGGGTTTGGGGCTAGCATTAAATCCTAACTCCAACTTAAGAACAAGTAGTTTTTGCATCATGCCGTTGCTAGATACTTGCCGTCAGGGAAGGGAATACAGAAGATATGGGTGCTATTGCAAAGTGTGGTGAAGAAATTAGATGGTGCCTGGTTGTCAGATGAAATAAGGCCTGGGGTCTTTAAGTCTTCTTTTGAAATAAGCAGCCATCAACTAAGTCCACATGGAAGAAGCACACCAACATCAGTGACTGAAGGACCGTAAGTCATATATTCCGAAGCCGAAGGAGAAAAGAGTATCAGAGCCTAAATTGTGAGAATCTGTTTTGCAGAAGGCTATGGATGACAGTGGAAGCCTAAGATACATTTGTGAGATCTACACAGGAAATAAGCCTCCGATTATTTCCCCCTATCCTTAATAGAGGGAGGAAAAGAAACTAGTAACCAAATGTAGTGCATTAGAGAGATGATTATAGGAGATCAAAATGATAAACCTGATTTGAATGGTTAAAACCTTGTCAATAGCATTTTTTGCCTCCTTGTGCCTTAGCACTTCCTGGACATTACACAGGTTGCTGGCATCATGAAGGTCTGGGTCTCTGAGCACAACTGCCTCTTGATCCATGTACAAATCCTGCCAAAGCATACTGAAATGTTCTGTAATTCCCATTTGTCTCAAGATTATCCACAGTTTGCTATGATGCTGTCAGTCGAATGCCTTGGAATAGCCAATAAAACACAACTATATATATTTCTGGTATTCGGTGCTTTGAGCCAAGTTTCATCTGACATCAGCAATGGCATGTCTTGTTCTACATCCTCTTCTGAATCCTGCTTGATCCTCTGGCAGGTTCTTGTCAAGTACTGCTGCAACCTTTGTTGGATGATCTTCAACAAAAATTTACTTGCATGTGATATCAATGGCATTACTCTAGAATTTGAGCATTGTATTGGGTCACCTTTTTAATATTTTCTGTTTTCTTTTTGATTGAGATTTTTCAATGTTTTGTCTAGTCATGCTGTTGGAGTTTGTTTGCTTCCTGTTTGTGTTTTGTATGACTTTCTGTATGTGAAATCTAGGACAAGGAGATCTATAGAGACAGTAACTGTTTTGATAATTGCCTGGGGGCATGGCAGGGGCAGCTGTGGGGAAATGGGGAGCTAACCACAATGAGTACAAGAAGAAAATGATCTCAAATTGTTTGTAGTGATGATTGCACTGGTCTTCTGAATATGATTGAATGGTTAAATTGTATATGATATGAGAATAAAACTATTTAAAAGGAAAAACAAATTGTGTCAATACATGGTGTGTATAAGAATATGAAGCAGCAGTGAACAACATTAGGGCCTATGTATCATAGAATGGGATCTTCATACATTTATCATTTTTCTAGAATCATGCAATGGAATAATATTCAACACTGGAGACAAAGGATCTACAGTTACCGTTAACAACATGAATTAGTTGCACAAATATAATAATAATTATTGAAATTAGCAAGCCATGATGGGATTCACTGAGAAGTGATATATATATTTTAAAAACACTGAAATAATCATCACAAACTCAGGGTAGTGACTATATGTATATGGGAGGGAGTGGTTGTGTGATTGTGATTTGGAGGAATAGACAGTGGGCTTCTGGAAAACTAGCAATGGTCTGTTTCTTAGTCCTGGTTACATGGGGGCTTCATTTTCATATAGCCTAAACTTATTTGCCTGATGCCATTTTGTGTACCTCACATTTTTAATGTTAAAAAATTGATATGTAAGAAATAATTCTGCTGAAGCAATTCTGATATTTTAATTTTTATTAATCATTTTATTGGGACTCTTATAGATCTTATAACAATCCATAAATCAGTTGATCAAGCACACTTGTACATATGCTGCCATCATCATTTTCAAAACATTTTTTTCTACTTGAGACCTTGGTATTGGCTCATTTTTTCCCTTCCCCCACAACATCCTTGATCAATTATATATGATTATTGATATTTTCATATCTTACACTGTCCGCTCTCTCCCTTCACTGACATTTCTGTTATTTGCCCCCCTTAGGTTGGGGGTGGGGATTATATATCTATCATTTTGACCAGTTCCCCCTTCTCCCCCTCCCCCACACCTTCCCCCTACCCTCATGGTGTAACTATTCTAATTAATACACAAGTGTCAATGATAATTAAAGCAGGGAAAGCATGGATCAATTAAACTACAATCCAAAAACAAATAAATAAAGCAGACGTTATTTTGTGTCAGAGTAGAGCTGTAAAGGGTTTTCAGTGGCTGACTTTTTTGTTTGTTTGTTTGAAATAGATTACAGTCATTCTTTCTGGGCACCTCTTGACGGACTCAAACCTGCAAGCTTTAGGTTAGTAGCCAAAAGCATTAACCTTTTGTACTACCCAGAGTTATTACCCATCATCCCGTCAGCACCCTAAGCCTTCCTCTTTCTAGACATGTTCCCTATATTTGAATCAATTTCCAACTGAATGATGGCCGACAATATCTAACTGAGTGATTGCAGGAGAGGGGCATGTCTGATCAGAGAAGATGGGAGCAAATGAAGGGGGAGGAAGAGAGAGTGGAGCACATCCTGACCCGCCAGGCCTGGAAGAAGTTGTGCCCGCTCTGAACAGCCAATGCGCAGAGTGGACCGTATGGTTGATCCCAGACCGAGATACGGAGTCCCTTGCTGGCCCATGGCCTTAAGGGGGACAACTCTGGAGACTCAGTGTCAGGACTGGGCGGGACTGACCCCGTGACACCAAGGCAAACCACTAAAGGCGTGACG